CGGCCCTATCGACCGCGGCACCGCCCCCGCGCCCGCCTTCGCCCTCTGCCCGCCGCCTGCCTTCGCCCTCGCGCTCGCCCACCGCCTCGCTCCGCTCCGCTCGCGCGGCTAAAAATATTGGCTGGAGGCGGAGGCGGAGGCGCACGTGCGAGTGTCGATAGACGCCGGCCAGGGGCCTGGCTTCGACGCTCGGTCCTTATTGATTGCGTGGCTGGCGCCCCAGCCGGCGCGGCGCGGCGCGCAGAGGGCCGCGCAGAGGGGCGGGCAGAGGCGCGGGCGCCCGCGTCTCGAGAGTTAGTCCTCCGCGCTCCGCCCTGACGCCCCCGGGGACCTTTCGGGGCACGCGGGCTTGAGGGTGTTTGCACTTGCAAATTTATGTACTCGCTCTCGCACAAGAGAGCCTTCTACCACTTGAACACAATGGCACCTGTTGCTGTATTTTTTGGCAGTTTGCCTAGCTTCGATTGTTGTGTCCTGCATCTTAATGTGAAAACAATGTGTACGTGAAATCTATCAGTGGTTATCTGAGAAAAAAATAATGATTTAGGTCATTTCTCAAAAGTATATGACACGAAAATATTTTTTGGTAAGTTAAAAATAGTAAATGCAAAAGCAGTACTATGTACATGATTATTTTTGTCACATGTAATATAATTTTAAAGTAAGGGCTCTCATTAATTCTTAAAAAAACACACAAAAAACATTTTCAGTACCTTATGTAAATTTAATTAATATCGTTTTCTTTGATTCATTCACACCTAATTCATTTAACTCTTATTTCCTCTTCATAACTTGCATTCTTGAATGCCCATCTTCATATTCCCAACAATCTCCTTTGAACTATTCTAAGCTGATATATGCCTCTCATCTCTTTACTACTACTTTACAAGTTTCTAACGGTTTAATTGAAGTTTTTATTTTTTAAAGGAAATTATATTTGTTACATTGGAGACATAAATTTTGCATTTCATTTCTTTGCCTTAAAATCTAATTTTACAAATTAGTTGTTATTTGGAGAAATATATTTACTTCTTAAATAAAATATTACATCATCCTCTTCATTTTACATTTTGTATGCACTGCAGAGCAATACCATTCTTTATTTCTGAGGAGATATGTTTTTCCCTTTATAATCACACTATTAAGTCAGTACTTTAAAAACAAACAATATGACACAATTTTCCATTTACTCAAATCCCTGCCTGTTTCTGATTTCTTGCTCTCGAAAAGCAATTGTATTTTTGCTATTGGTTCTTTGAGAACATTCTTCTATTAGGTACAATGTAAGATTTAATAACATTATTTTCTTTTCTTGAAGTATATATTAAATTTTGGACATGATATAAATGAATATAACTAAATGCAATTATACATTTTATTAAATATAGTAATATTTCAAAAGTATTAATATTGAAAAATGGAGCAGAAACAATCAAATCAGGCTAATCAATTATTTTACTCATAACAAAATGGACCACTACACCAAAAATTATTGTTATTGAGAAGAATAGAAAAAATAAAATTAATTAGAGAACAATGTTAATGAAAATAGGTTTACATAGAATAATTTTTCTAATAGAATAATATATTATTTGAATGTTCAATTATTCAAGTAATGAAATTATTTGAATTTTATTAAAATTGGGTGACAAAAAGAGTTATTGAAATTTGTCAATCGAAAATAAAAAATTAAGGTACTGAGCTCAAGAAATGCAGATTGCACTTCTCCCCATAGTAATACTTCACATGAAGTTTTTATATTTTTTTAAATGTCAAATAAATAATTGAAAAATTCCTGTGAAGAGACACATTGTCCAAAACGTCACTTTTGGTTGAGGGGAGGGGGATCTGCACGTACAAGATGATGCCCATGGCATTGTACAGTGCTCAAGACTGAGCATTTTCCTGAACTGAACTTCTAAAGTTTCCAAAAGAAAACACCAGTAATAAATGCATGCGACTTGGCAAAGAAAAGCATGTATGTCCATATTCATATTGTGCCTTGTTTGGGTGTTTCTGTTTTGATAACTGATATATTTAATAGATGATTCCTATTACAAATATGAGCAATTAGGTAAAATGGTATTGAATTATCCTAGATGAGAAGTGAAAGGATTTTTATCGCAATATTTGTGGGTAATTAAATTTTCTTCAAACACTTGTTAATGTTCTTGAACATTAATTTGTTTTCAGTGACATGTAATGATGTTTAAACTAATACATTTTTTAAACATGGGTTTCCAAACAGTTTTTTGCTTGTCCTGTAATTACAATTTTGAACTTAAGTGCTTTCCCATAGGAGCTTTTCAATTAATTAAAAGATAATGATTGATACTTCCTTCAGTTATTAACAAATGTATAAAGTACTATTTGTTCACATTAATTGATTTCCTTCAATTATACAATGCTGTTTATTGATTCTGCAAATAAAAGTACCATTAGTATGAAAATGCAATAGCAAGTACTATCTTCCCTAAGAAATTGTTATAACTATATATAGTTATAACACTTTCTAAGGGAAGATAGTACTTGCTATTGCATTTTTACACTAATGGTATTTTTATTTTATCCTTCATGAATACAGACTGCATACAGACTTGATGCTCATTTGGATTTATAATTTGGTATTCTTTCTCAAATTGTACGGGAAGTCATCAAAATTAATCGTAATAAATACTTATAAATAATAACTGATACCATATAATTAATAGAGATTTATTTTTCATTGTGCCCCTCAAAATTTGACACTGAGAATGCTCTTGATATTTACTGGGCCCATTTAAGAATTCTTCACGGGCAAATATATCACAAAACCATCACTGTTTAAATTTAAAGTGTGGCATATAAATATTAAAAAGACATTTCTTTAAAAATTGTCTTTGCAGGATAATCTCAATCCAGAGCAGTTTTAATGCTTCATTTAAGATTAAATCAGCCTTGAACTTGAGAACATAAATAAATGTAAGCCTGTAGAATGAAAGAGGAAATTTAATCTAAACAAATAACATATTCACATCAATTTAATATTAAATCATATAAAATAATTATATTTCATTCTAGATAATAGTGACAACATTAACATTAGAACTTCCTTATAATACATTCACTTACCCCATAATAATTTTTTCCATATTTTTCTCACAACTCTTCTTCCTCAAACACAAAGAGCAGATAGATATGAAAGAGAAGACAGGAAAAGAAATGGATCATGCAGGACCACCTGGAAGATTAGAAATATTGTTTTTAGGCCTCTTTCTTAACCAGGAATAAATCTCAGGCATTTCATCCTGTAGTATATGAATGTTAACACTTCCTTCTCAACATATCCAATCCTTGCAGATCTCTTTTAACAAGATTCCTTTCTCCTTTACTGTTCTGAGTACCTCTGCATGTTTGTATTTCATTAAGTTATTTAATCATCTTCTATTTTTATTTCTGTCTTAGCAACTTAGCTTACCAACTTCCTCTCTCTTGATGGTTAATTTCAACTTTTCTTGGAATCCACATTTTGAACTAGAACCCATGACTCTTAAGAATGTTAGTCACATATCTATTGAATGTAAAGTTGGTAACTCATTTTTTTATATAATTAAAGAAAAAATTGAAAATTAACAGCTGCAAAGACCTGTCCTATTCCTGAAATTG